AACTCTCCCTATGAATGAATAACATCCGACCTGAAGAGAAAAAAAAGCTTAATAACATTTGATTTTGCCAGCATTTGCACAGAAAAAATTAGCAAGATGAATAACTCAGTGTACACTCCCAGCATGCATTCATGCCAAAAAAGAATATGTTTTCCAAATTAAGAAGATTTTCTCACTGAGACAGGCCCTATACTGTATGCTGCCAGATATATAGATACATAATATACAAAATGCAATTGTAAAAATGAGGAACAGCAAGCACGGAGGTCATACATAAATGACCTTCAGATAAAATGTTTTAATAATAACTATAAAAATTATTATACCCACTGAAAACACTCAATAGCTTCCCTTTTATTATTGTCATCACATATTATGGGATGCCTAGGCCTTGTTGGTCTTTACTGGCCATCAATCACATTTCTAAAAAGGACCAGGTTGACGTAATAAGCAATTAGTGTAAATTAGGGTAATTAAATTCAATTTGTTAGAAAAAAATCCACAGAGAGTTTTCTGCGTGGTCTGGCTGCAATTTTGATCATAGCTTAGTGGGGCTGTAGAAGATGACCTCACTAAAGAATAAATGGAGGGGACAGAAAGAGGCCATGTTGTGCCTGCACAATCCATGTTGTATGTATTACTGCTCATACTCTGCTGCGGTTTGACAAGGTCATTCATAACATCACTGCAAAGTTTGGCATAGAATACGTCTCTGGCGTAGAGGCCGGGCAGCAAGCAAAATATCCAAGTGGCTCTAAACAGCGGTAGCCTTATACCTGCTGGATGCAGGCAGCACAAGACTTCTACTTTCGATATGGAATCCAAAAATCACTTTAAAGAGAACCAGTCACAGCTGTATATTGGAGTCAGTATAAATGTTATATTACTAATAACATTTGTAGAAAAATGATTCTAAAAAAAGCCGCCAAAAAAGACTCTTTGGTCCTATCCACACTTAACATGTATTGCATTAAGGCAGTCCATTCATTTTGAATCGACTGCCAATGCACCACAATGGATGGAAAAATATACATGACCCTGTTTTAAAAATGCAGCACACTATATATGCACTTTGGTGTGCATTGGACTCTACTGTACAGTGTGTTGGAGTGCTATTCACAATGGATGGCACAGCACTGTACATAGAGTAGGTGAGTTGCCATGTGTTGGTGTAACGTGCATTACTGCCACAAGCATACTCAAAAAAATCAGCTCTGGAGTCTGTACATAATCCACAGAGTTTATTTAATAAAAATCATAGCCATGCTATGAGTAAGGCTTTGTAAGCCAAAACGCGTTAGCTCTTTCCTGTATGCCGTATCACTTGATTTTTAATAATTCTATTCTAAAGATTATGTATTGACTTCAACTCAGACTTTTTTGAGTATCAAGTGGATGGTGCTGACAGGAACTAGGAGGCCGACACCCTCTTCATGATAATATCAGTCAGAAGGTTAAGCTAAGTTCATTTTGTGGTGCCTCAAAGAATAAATGTGAATGGACACTAAATACAAACCTCTCTGGTGGCTCCTAAGTTTGCTTTCTGCAAGAGCTAAACTTCAAGAAGACTCTTCAGTATCCTGATGCCGACACCCCTCACCCCTTACCTATGTGTGCTACAGTTCCTCTGCTAGAGCCCTACATCACTACCATACCATGTAATGCCATAAGAGCCGGCAGATGGAGGCCGTAGCTCCAGAAAAAGCCAGATGGAGGACTCATCACCCACAGGACAGGTATTAAGACTCTTCCTTTGCAGGCTGCTTTTTTAGTGTCGAGTCATTTTAATATAACTTAGCCTTACTCAAGGTATGAGTTGTCTAAATTTCAAACTCCCTGATGCTCCCATATGCAGTGCTATTGTCTTTGGTCCAGTTGTTGCATCTCTCATGGCGGTGTAGACAAACCATGGGTGAGATGCATACTCCCCCAGCTAATGTGATTTTGAGTAAGCCCTCACCGCTCTTTCTATCTGAACAGAAGCTGAAAACTGGAGAGAGCTGATGGCATCTAATGTCAGAAGATGAGGAGCTGCAACTGGAAATCCAAAGTGTGGACAAGGGTACTAGGGAACAGTAGGGATTCTGAAATTCAGACACCTAGTAACCTAGTGAAAGGCTCACTTACATTAATATTACATTTTTATTCAACTGTTTAATTTACCAATATAGGCATCTGTGACAAGTGCTCTTCAGGCCCAGATCTTACCAAAACATTTTTTTTCTCTGCAGACTACTTACAAATGCAAGACTGGTCTCACCTTATACAGTAGAACCACCAGAAAGTGTGTGATTACATGTAGTAAGTCTGATAAGGGTGTGACTTTCAGCCATGTTTAGTCATTCTATGCCCTTGTCCATTTATCAACATCTCATTCCCATCAGTTTTCATGGCGGTCTAAAGGCACAGTTTTGGATTACACAGTGAAAGCACAATGTTTGCTGTAAGAAAACTGGTCCCCTAAGATAATTCAGGGACAGCTTTGTGAAGACCAAATGTGAGGCTCTATTCACATTTGAGTGTAGCGTTTTTGTGCATTTTGCTACGTGTTTTTATGCACATTTGCAAAGTTTTTGATTGATTTGTTCAGATGTTTTCAGGCTTTTTGATTTCTGAGGTTTTTGTATTAGCCAATAGAGAAAAAATTAATCTGTGACATTAATTGTTGCCATATTTTTCCATGCCAGAAAAACGCTCTTGGTTGAGCGTCAATACTCGCAAATGCGCATGAAACCGCTTGATTTGCGCGCTTACATGTATATCTATGGGAATAAAAACGTGCCAAAAAACTCATCAATCTGCCGAATGGAGCTAAAAAGTAGCTCCAAAACATTTTGGAGCTTCAGGCATTCTGCTTCAGGTAAGTGGTGTGGAAATGTGAACCATATCCATAGAGTAATATTGATTTTTTTTCTCCCTGAGCGTTTTGGAGCTTCGAGCTTCGCACCACAAAATGTCTTGGTGTGAATGGGGCCTAATTGTGCATATGTTTAGTTGTACATTGTAGAGGCTTGGGTTGACAGGAGGTGTATCCCTACAGTTAGCAGCTGGCCACCAGCCAAGACATGTGGCCACCATCCTCAAATTTCTGGCTGGGTGTCATTCAATTATTTTTTAGGTGATTCTTAAAGAAACCAATAAAGCAATAGATAATTATTGACTTCTGTTACCACACAGTGCTTACATTTGGCTTTAGCATGTGCCAACTGCCTGATTCTCGTAATTGCTCATTGTTTTTAAATTCCATAAAAGTGGTTTTAGCAGTAGGCTTGGGAAGGAATTTATATAGGAGTTGTCATTTTCTGTATGCTAATATGTTTTTTCTCAACATTTGACCTTATATTTCAGAAAGGCAACACGCAAAGTATACTAAATCTATACACAGTCACATAGCAAATAGTGCATTATTTTTCATTTCTTAAAATCCATAGGAGCCTTGGCTTTCTTCCATATATTTTCATTTATAATGCATTTTGAACTAACCACAGAGAAAAAAACACTGTAACCTCTAATCTATATGGGCATGGTGCTGACAGATGGGGTTCCTACATGTGAAGGTATTCATTATGGCTGTAGGGGCACCAGAAGCCTTTCTATGCACACCATTGGTGCATGGGATCCACAATTCATATATTTGCTTTGCAAAGATCTCATCTTCTGGAATCTATCAGGCTACAAGCACTCTATCCTTTCTATCTATCAGCCCTTCTAGCTACCATCCCTTCTCAACCTTTTCAACACAGAGGAAAACTTGATATAACTTTCTGGTCTCAAGGAACTCCTGCTAAAAATGATTATATCTACAGCTCATGATACATTAGTGTGATGGTCAGTGGGAAAAATGCTCCTTATTCTTGTGGTCATTGGGAAGAATTACCCCCTTACAGATAGCTAAAAAGATCAATGGTGTCAGTGGGAACTTATCTGAGAGACTGAAATTGCTCATTGATCAAGGAACCCCTTTGAGGAACCCTAGGGTTCCATGGAAGCCTGGTTGAGCAATCAAGTATTATCATAATACATCTCCTATATTGGGGTCTATTCCTTGCATAGTTGAAATTTTGACTTAGGCAGTGCCCCAGGGTGATGGAATAAGACAAGGTTCCCATTGTGCCCATGTCTTCTCAACTACAATCTGATGGCATCAGTACTCTGGAAAAAAATGTATAGTGTTAGTATTATGAAAAGTGGCCCATGATCATGTAATTGTGGTGCTTATTCTTAGAGGAGGGGCTTATCATAGGGGTTAGGGTGCAGCTTTTTCAGTGACCTAAAATCACATCTGCCCATTGTGCATATCAAGTAGAGTCCTAGCGACTGAATGTTTGTAATACTCCAACTGGGATTTGGTTAGACCAAAAATACACAAAAAAAATGAAAACATTTCAGTTCATAAGGCACTACAGAGGTAAACTCTGATTAGTTTCCAGTGTTCAATGGCTCTCACTTTGTCTTTTTCTTAGACTAGTACAATACAGCTGTATCTTTAAATATGTCAAAATATACTTTGGGCCATGCTTATTAGAATGCAAAACATTAGGACATGTGCCCTGAACTTAGCACTGCTCTGTAGACATGTCCCTCAGCCTGTTGTCTTGGAAGTAGCCTTCCAAACTTGTACAAGTTTTAAGACTTTACCACAAATGTAACCTAGAAAAGAAAATTTGCTTTCATGCAGCACTGAAATACAAATATGACAGGACCATAAAAGGGCCCAGTGGTTACAAATCACAGAGAGCTGTCATGGGTGGTCAAGTCAAGCTCTGCTTTTCCTGAGGGCATCCACTTTTACATCTAGGCCAACCTTTACATCTTAAAGCAAGGGCATAAAGGAAGCCAAATGTATGTTTCCAGCGCACCATTAAACTGCAGAGCGCACATCCTGATAAGGTCTGTAAGGTGAACCAATGGTGTTTGAGGCCTTAGATTTCAGTAACAGCAAATTAGCTTGACTCACGGTAGTGTTCATTTTAAAAAAAAAGACTGCTTGCAACCATTGGCTATACCACAGTTTCGTTCCCTTTGCCTGGTTTTACCCAAGCATCAGCCCTTTTCTTCCTTTTCACTTTCCCCGAGTTCACCAATCTGTTTGAACACTTCTGCCACGTATGCAGCGTCTTGGCAGACCAGATCCACATACCCGATGTGATGCCCACCAGAAGAGACATGAATATCTTGAGCATCTCCACAGCAATGTTGGAGTCATCGGCTGTGTATCGGAAAATGGCCCAATTGGAGATCTCGTAAAAGTAGCAGGCGATCACACAGGTTGCTGGGACAGTGTACAAAACTGAGAAGACACCGATTTTCACCATTAAGCGTTCTAACTTGTCTGTTTTCGTTCCATCTTTTTGAAGGTTGGACCTGATTTTAAATAACGCCACAAGACCGGCTGCTATAAACAGAGTACCGATCACCAAGTAAGTGAAAAGTGGGGCTACTACGAAACCAGTGAGGGCATCAATGTTTTGGTTGCCAACATAGCAAAGACCCGTCAGCTCATCCGCGTCAACAAGTCTCATGATCAAGATGACTATTGTTTTTACGGCTGGAATCGCCCAAGCAGCAATGTGGAAGTAGGAGCTGTGCATCTCTATAGCTTCATGTCCCCACTTAAGGCCTGCTGCAAGGAACCAGGTCAGTGTCAGAATCACCCACCAGATGGAGCTAGCCATTCCAAAAAAGTACATGAGCAAGAAAATGATAGCACATCCTGTGTTTTTTAGCCCTTCCTGGATGAGAACGGGTGCCGAAGCCTCCCCAAACTCACAGGATATTCTGTCTCGGCCCACAATCATCTCACAATATAGGCAATGCTATAAATATTGTAACACATGCTCAGGAAGATGATAGGTCTCTCAGGATAGGAAAAACGAGATGAGTCAATCAAAAAAGTGAGCACTGTGAATGCAGTGGATAAAAAGCACAAGCTGGCCCACACGGTCATCCAGATGTCAGTAAATTCCTTGGACAAGCGGCTATAGAGACCTGCATCATAACCGCACTTCAAGACACAGCTCATGCTTCTCGAAACCCAGGTGTACTGTTCGGAGTTCGGACCCATGGCAATGCACTCTTCCCCGGGTTGCACAGATGTCTTGCTGTGCATTGGGACCTCCTCATCTCCAGGGCCTTCCATGCACATGTGATTATGATCATTCTGGGGTGGAAATTTGCTACAGTTCAAACTTTCTGGCCAAGCAAATCCAAATTCTTTGAGGACAGGCTCACACCTTCTCTTGACGGAAAGGCACATGCCACCACAGGGGCCGATGGGGATGTTAATTTTCTCCGTACACATTGGAACGTACACAGAACACAGGAAAAACTAAAAAAAAGAAATGAAAAAAACATGGGATTAGGGTGCATGAAAAATTATTACAGATTGAGGTGTAAAAGAGGTGGGAGCTCCAGTGTAGTTGACACACTGATGTAATATCTTACACACCCATCTACAAATGTATATACAGTATTTATTATATAAAAAACATGAAATATGGATAATGCAAAAGATAACAAAAAACTGGAATGTATGCATGCACAATATTTTCAATTTCAGAGTGTTTGCATTAAAGGAAGATACTTTAAAGTGGTTCTAAAGGCATATTTTTTTTACCTTAACACATTCTATGCAATAAGGTAAAAAAAACCTTCAGTATGCAGCTCCCCACCCAGTCCTCCCTCATGGTTATTTGAGCCCGATCTCGATCCAGCGATGTGCACGAGAGCAGCAGCTGCTCTCCCTTCCACACTGGCTCAGAGACAGCAGCGGGAGCCATTGCTCCTGCTGCTGTTAATTACAGCTAGTGAAGAGAGAGGAGGGGGTGGGGCTGAGCAGCGCTCTCTGTTTCTACAGACACACAGAGCGGAGCTCGAGAGCACGAGTAGAATTTGGGTGGTGGGGAGGAGTCAGGAGCACCGGTGGGGGATCCGAGAAGAGCAACGTCGGGGCTGCTCTGTGCAAAGCCATTGCACAGAGCAGGTAAGTATAACATGATTGCTATTTTAATTTTAAAAATTGAACCTTTAAAGGAGAAGTACCGCCAAAGTTTTTTTTGACTGTACTTCTCCTGTGGATCACAGGTGTGCAGTTTGTTCTGCATTCCTGTGACCGATTTTCAGATGACACCAAGCCACCAAGCTGAAGCCCACTGTCGGCTGACATCACTCAGCTGGTTGAGGCTGGGGAAAGATCCCGACTTTAAAGTTGGGATCCACCCCAGAGTCTGGAGCAACAGCTGGCTCAGTCTCTCTGCAATCTGCTAAGAGCCTGAGCCAGCTGCTCCCCTCCAAAAGCCCAATGCTCCAGTGAGCTCGGGGGAGGGCAGAGCAGAGCAGAGAGCGAAGGAGCGGTAACTGACAGTCACTGCCCTCTGATCAGAGCAGCTGTGAGAACCCAGCAGTCATGTGATCGCTGAGTTCTCACCCTTAGAGCCGGCGGGGGACAGATGAAGCATCCACCTAGGTAAGTATCATTTTTTTTTAAAACTACTTCCCTTTTAATATCACTTTAATTCTGTTATAAGTTTAGATCAAGGCTACATTGAAGCAGACATAATTAATTATATTTCTGACAGGCAGGCAGGATAAATGTATTTATTTCAGGTACTTATGTAGCGCCATCAATTTACACAGCACTTTACATATATATTGTACATTCACATCAGTCCCTAACTTCAAGGGGTGTACAATCTAAGGTCCCTAATTTACATTCATACATACACATACTAGGGCCAATTTAGACAGGAGCCAATTAACCTACCAGCATGTCTTTGGAGTGTGGGAGGAACCCAGAGAAAACCCACACAGGCACAGGGAGAACATGCAAACTCTAGGCAGGTGGTGCCATGGTTGGGATTCGAACCAACGACCCTAGTACTGCCATGCAGAAGTGCTAACCATTTAGACACTGTGCTGCCCAATAAATGCTTGAATTTGATTTGGTATCAGACCCTTGCAGTCTACTGTACAGTAGAGCTCAAAGAGGGGGAGGGAAAAACAGCACAAGGAGCAAATCAGGTATTCAGCTACGCATGCTAATAGTAGGAGACAGCATAGTGACAGAGATAAGCATATCAATGTACTGTTTTTCTTTTCACTGTCCAGTCAGAGTAGGGGTGGGAAGGAGACCTGTAAATAACTGCAACTAAGGTCAAAATCACCTACCCCCCTCCAGGATTGTACTGTGTGACAAAGCTGTGTAAATCTCAGGACTGGATGTACAAAAATACGAATTATTTGGTAAGTAAAACAGTTCTCACACTGTAAATGTACATCATCTCTATTTTCCTGGAGTTCATCTGTAAGGAAGGATCAACTTAACAGGTAGAGGGCCTTTGTGACTCTAGGTAAGTGAAGATGTAGGGGTCCAAAATGCAAAGATCTGGATACAAACTATCCCAACTGTATTTTTTCCTCAATTACCCATAAAACTGGACAACTTGTTTCAAGGGTCTTAGGGTGCCCCTCCATAAAAAATCTAAATATGTTATACATAAGTCTACAAACATAATTAGGAACCCCCCCATAAAACACACTGGACAATTTATGGCCTCATGCACACTGGGCATCAGGCGTTTTCTGCAGAACCAGTAAACTCTCCAGCATGTTATCCAAGGTGTCCATGCACACTCAGGCTTTTATCAGCATTTTTAGGCAGGAAAAAACCAACCTCAGAACTACAGTGTTTGAAGAGGAGATAAACGTGGTAAAATGCATAAGATGCAGCAAAACGCAACTATCTGGCGTATTTTTGATCCTCGATGTAATTAGGCAATATTATTGGACACTGAAATTTTTGCTAAAAAACTGCTAACGTGACAAAACGCTAATGCAATAATGCAGCAAAACCCACGTTTTCAATGCCACATTCTATAGCTAACGCTAATGGCATTTTTATAACGTCCTGTGTGCATGAAGCCTAACGCATTACTAAGCAACAAAAACCCCAAACAAACATGAAACAGCTTGTCTCCGGGTCTTTCAATATTGGCGTTCCTACACTTTCACTTACCTAGATACAAATTTGATAGATTGTTTAGGCCGGCTCCCAGATGACAAAGTTTAGGTAAATCTAAAACAGATGATATGATGATATCAACTTGTAATTTGTATGACAATCTCAACAGTCATATATCCGGGTAAAGATAAAAATACAAAAATATACAAAAAAAATGTATATTTTCCTGTCCACAGAATAATACATTATTTGACAACAGCATAATTACAGAAACTGTCTATACATGCTACAAAGAAACAGACGAAAGGGATGATTTACTAAAGTCAAACAAAATGTTCTCTTTGTAAGGGAACCTTCCCCAGAGCTTAGTGAATGTGGTGACATTTCACTTTGCAAATACCCAAAAAATAACAAAAAACAGCATTTTTGGCTTGCACATGATTGGATGGTAGAAGTCAGAAGAGCACTACCTCATTTACTGGGGAAAATTCCCTTGCAAAGTGCAATTCCGTTGCAAGGGGAACAGCCTATTTGCCTTTAGTAAATCGACTCCAAAGCTTTGACCTGTATCAAATACTACAAAAAAAGTTTCACCAAACCTTTTCACTTTTCAAGTAACCCAGCCTGGTACTCATCTTTTCAGTGACATTTTGTTTGGCAAACATAATACCGGCTCTCTTTAACCTGAGAGGAGCTCAATCCATTGAAAAGGCTGAGTTTAGAAATGTAATACAAGAGCTAATGTAAACGAAATACTTTCCTAATCAAGCCTGGGGTAAACACCAGTAAGAGCTCCTGGCGCACAATGATTTATTTTATATTCAGGCCTGACCTTTCAACTTCCAAGCAATTTTGCTCCCAACCTATCTCCTAGACTTGGAGTTTTGTTAATCCAATGTATCATAAACTGTTTGCTTTTCTTGATTAACTGCTGTGAATTATCATGTAGCTTATCAGCAATCTTCCCACCCATAGGTAAACCCAGTAGACAGACTCCATCTGGAAATCTTTCAACTGCCTCTTTGTTAAAACTTCCCTCTCTCCCCTCCACAGTCTCAATACTCACTTTCTTTTCATTTCGCTGTCTTTAAGCAATTATCACCGAGATCTCACTAATGTGGAATTCAATATGCCCTGTGTTTTTTTTGTTTTTGTTTTTTTTTTAACAAGCTGAAATTAGCAGGTTTCCTAATCAGTCTCCCACAACTGAAAAAAGGAGGGAAAAAAAAAAATGAAGAAAATGACAAGTAAATAGATCAGCCCTCACATTCCTGTGGAGCAGCTTGTCACTCTTACAAAGAGCTGAAATCCTTATATCAACAATGCATGCAAAGTGTCAAAGTGGATCTCCTTGCAGCCAACCATCCACAAACCTGGAGCCAAAAATCATCGCTAGGTTGCACCAGTGGTTGGCAAAACTGAATCGTCCTTAAATGTTATTGTGTGCTGAAATATTCCAAATAGGGATTGTGCAATCTCTTCAATCATACAACAAAAAAAAATGGAGTTTATTATTTTTAGACAGGATTTCTAAAGCACCAACAATTTGTGCAACTCTTTACAATCTAAAGGGGGGCAACACAGTTACAATACAATGAAAAAAAATACAAGAGGGTTAAGAGGGCCCTGCTCATAAGAACTTACAGTACAACCTAATAACGTGGGGCAAGTGGTACAAAAGATAATAACTGTTGGGGATGAGCTGATGGAAGAGTGAAAAGTTCATTTGATAGTTGGAGGTGTGATAGGTTTCCCTGAAGAGATGAGTTTTCAGGGATCGCCCAAGGTAGTCACAGTAGGAGATAGTCAGACAGATTGAAGTTGAGAGTTCCAGAGAATGGTAGGGGCTATGGAGAAGTCCCGGAGACAAGCGTGGGAGGAGGAGACAAGAGAGCTTGAGAGCGGGAGGTCTTGGCAGGAGCAGAGAGGATGGTTTGGGTGATATTTGTAGACAAGATTGGTGATGTAGCTCAGGGCAGAGTTGTGAATGGCTTTGCAAGTGACAATCTTCATTGGCTATAACTTAAGTTAATAAAGGTGCAAGCATTCTCAGTCTTCATACTGGCCAAAGGGATCTAAGTTCTCCAGAAAGCTTGCATCCTTAATAACTTAAAGCGAAACTGAAGTCCAACGTCCCTCACGATGCTTCTACCCAGCTTCTTCTAGATGGCAAGTTCTGGCCATCTTCATTGGCCAGCATGGGCATTACAAGTCCCTTAGGCAATAAAAGGTATAAATGAAGCTGCTATTTTTTTCGACTTTTCAATGGCTAGCATCGTGCTCTACTTCTGCTAGTTTGTACAACCAAAATGAATGAGGTGCATGCCAAACAAAGAGCCGATAACAGTATGCTCCAATCAGAACTGAAA